CTACTATGAGGGTGGGTGGGGCTGCTCTCCCAGGTCCCACACACATGCCTGGTGCCACTTGGCCTGGGTGGGGAGAAGAAACCACAGGCCTGGCCGGTGCCATAGGACCCAGCAGGTAAAAGACACCCAATGAACTTTAGTCAAGTCAATGGCAGTGGTGCTAGCTAGCTGGAGCCCTACTGCCTCACTTCTAGCAAAACACTCTAATCAGAGTCCTCTGCCAGCCGTTCCAGCAGTCTCCAACTGTAAGCATCCCAAAAGATTCATTTTCAAAGAATGAATGTTGTCTTAGTTAGGTTCCTATTGCTGTGAAGAGACACCATGACCATGGCAACTCTTATAAATGAAAACATTCAACTGAGGTGCTCGCTTACAGTTTCAGAGGTTCAGTCCATTATCATCATGGCAGGGAGCATGGTGGCATGCAGGCAGACATGAAGCTGGCAACATCTTGACCAGAAGGCAGCAGGAAGTCGACTGACTCACTGGGCAGTATCCTGAGCGTAGGAAACTACAAAGCCCACCTCCAGAGAGATACATTTCCTCCAACAAGGCCACACCGACTCCAACAAAGCCACACCTCCTAATAGTGCTGCCCCCTACAGGCTTATGGGGACCAATCACATTCAAACTACCACACTTTTAAAAGCTTTTATTTGCTTAAATTTAAAAATAAATTTAGAGCTGATGATTGAATTTTCTTGTATTTTGTAAATAATATATTTAATTAAAAGAAAATAATGTTATAAATAAATTAGTAAGATGTATTAGGTGACTATGGAAAACACTGTATAATTTTCAGATCCATGTCTCTCTATACCACTGACTCCAGCATAAGCTACTGATAGTTGAGACATGGTATATTAGTAATTTTCATTTCTGTGAATGAATACTTAACAAGAATCAACTAAAAAGGGAAGGGCCTATTGTGGCTATGGTTTAAGAAGGGGTACAGTAAATCATGGCAGAGAAGGCATGCTGGTAGGGAGGAGGCTGAGATGGCTGATCACATTGTATCTAGAGTCAGGAAGCTCAGAGTGAATGGAAAGTGGGATCATGGTACAAAACTCCAAGGCCTGCCCCAGAGACCCAGTTCCTCCAGAGAGCCTGCGCTTCCCTAAGGTTGCACAATCTTCCCAAACAGTGCCACCAACTGGGGCCAAGTGTTCAAAAACACATGAAGGGTACATTTCACATTCAGATGGGAGCATTCTGCCCTTGTACCCATAGGCTCATGGTCATTTCATGATGCAAAATGCATTCATTCCAACTTCTAAAGTTCTAGAACCTTTAACAGCTCCAATACTGTTTAAAAACCATCTCCTCTGAGATTCAAAGCAACCCTATCCTGGCTACTTTTATGTCAACTTGACACAAGCTAGAGGCACTTGGGAAGAGAGAACCTCAATTGAGAAAATGCCCCCACAAGATTGGCCAGTGGGTGAGCCTGTGATACATTCTCTTGATTGGTGACTGATGTAGGAGGGTCCAGCTCACTGTGTGTAGTGTCACCCTTGGGTAGGTGGTCTTGGGTGCTCTAACAATGTGGAATGAGCAAGCCAGTAAGCAGCATGCCTCCATGGTCTCTGCATCAGCTCCTGCCTTTGTGGCTTCCTGCTCTGACTTCCTTCAGTAATGGACTGTGATGTAGAACTGTAACCTGAGGTAAACCCTTTCCTCCCCAGGTTGCTTGTGGTCATGGTGTTTTACCACAATAGAAAACCTAACTAGGAGAAACTCCTTAACCATGAGCTTCTGTAAAATAAAAAGCCAAGTTACATACTTCCAACATCCAACATCGTCATTTAAAAATGAAAGAATGAGGTCATAGTAAGGAAAGGTTGAACCAAGTAAGAGCTCTAAATCCATAAGGATGAATGTCATATCCTGCAATTCCATACTGGGCACCTGGCACTCTTATTGGATCATCTCAGTATCAAAGGACTTACTAGCCTTCCCCCACCCCACCAACTAGTACTATTAACAACACACAACTCCTCCCTTGGACCAGCCCTACTCCCTGCCTGCAGATTCAGTAGAGGCCCCATGATTGGCATCTCCAACATCCTGGACTTGCCATTGCAGTTTAGACTTCACCTTCACAGCTTTACATACTGGCCTTTCAGGACTTCCTAGCAAAGGCTCCAGCCGCACTGCACTTTGGATTTCTGGAAGTTTGGCACAAGACTCCAAGATCCCCTCAATCTTGCATCTTTCATGCCTTCAAAACAAGTACCATATGAACAATACTGCCAAGTTCTGCTACCATCCCCAGAGAGGGCCTGGCTTCATTGTACAACAGTTATGGTGGCTTCTGTGCGCTGACATTGGGGAAACACTTTCCTAGTTGGCTGTTCTTGAGCAAAGATCCCCTTTAGTTATACCCTCAGTTTAGTTTCTTTCCTTTCCAATGAATTTGCATTTTCACTGATTGGAGCCTTTGGTGGGTAGGGTCTTGCCTTCAAGGCATATTTCCTATTGCCCCAGTGTAAAACACATTGGTTTCTTTTTAATGGTGCTCTTTAACAATTACATTTGCTTTCTCAACTGTCATGCCTACAACTTTAAATCCGTACCTTGCCTTACAGAGAGTCACATTTAAACACCTTTGTGCTCCATTTGTTGCTTTCTTTGTCTGTAGACCAGAAAAGCAGTCAGCAGTAACTTTCACACAACCTGAATATTATACTATCTTGAAATGTCATTCGTCCTACGTGATTATTTTTCCTTACTTATCTTTATTTTTTAGTTTCTAATATAATAACAACATTTCTCCCTTTCCTTTCCTCCCGCCAAACCTTCCAATATACCCTCCCACACTCTCCTTCAAATTCATGGCCTCTTCTTTCATTAATTGTTATTGCATGCATATATGTTTATGTATATAAATATATATTCCTAAATATAACCCGCTCAGTCCATTAATGTTACTTGCATGTATGTCTTCAGGGCTGACCATTTGGTACTCGACAACAAATTGGTGTGATCTTCCCTGAAAAGAGCTCGTCTCCTGCTCCAAGCTTTCCTCAGTTAACTTCAGTTCTTTGTGAGAATCTATACCTAGAAAGTCTCACATACATGACTGCCCAAAAGTGAAATAAACAAGGACACCACCATTAGACATGCCAAAGAAGACAGAGAAAAGCCCATGGTGCCTCAACCCTATATAAAGTACATCACTTTAGAGTTTAGCCTCACTCAAGTTCTCAGAACACAAGTAGATTCTTTGCCAGAATTTAATAGGATTTAATAGCCTTCTAGCCCACTTCCCATTTCCCTGTAGGGTGTGTTTCCCTCTGAGACCTCATGAGATGGACCTTCACTGTCTGCAAGTCTCTAGGCATTCTGGACCTCTGAAATCCTGCCAGAATGACCTGTTAAGTTCTGCTTGCACTGTTTCTAGGGCTTCACTAGCCCACAATTCCACATTCATTCGGCAAACCTGTTTCAAAGGCCTGAGAATCAAATGGTCAGGGTTGCCACAGCAACAGCCTCAGTTCTTGGTACTGATTTTCTGTACTAGTTTCTTGCTCCATTATTGTGACCAGATATTTAAAAAGAAATAATGTAAGGGAGGAAGGGTGTGTTCTTTTACAGCTAAAGAAAAGATGCAGTTCATCATGGGCCTGGGAGGGTATGGTGGCAGAATCATGAGATACCTGGTCACATTGCATTGCATCTACAGTTAGGTACCATGTAATGTGTAAGAAGAGGCACTGGGCTACCAAACATCAAGGCCCAACCCAGTCACTCACTTTCCCCAGCAAGAGTATAACTCCTAAAGATTCCCCAACCTTCCTAGCCAGCATTATCAACTGGGTACCAAGTGTTCAAACACCAGTGTACAGGGGACATTGCACACCCAAATAATATCTGGTTTCTATTTTTCAAAAGGTTTTATTGACTAATGATCAAGAGGAGAAAAACTAAACTTTGCTGGCTACCTAATAAATATTTTCTCCTAAGTTTCATATATTGAGTAACCAATTTAATCCTTTCAATAGCCTATGAGTTATGTATCATATCTCTTTTTATTGTTACAAACAAAGCTACTGAACTTAGATAAGTAAGCATTTTCCAAACTAAGAGTCAAACTTTGATACTTCTAAGAAAAAGGCAGTTCTACAGTTGTTTAAATTTCCTGAGTTAAACACATTTTATGTGGTACATTTTGTATATTCTGTTATTCAAACTGCTAAATGTTACCTATAGACCATAACTAGCCACTGCCAGTGATGGATGATGACCTCAGTGGACTTCTGAGGAAGACTCTGGGATGATAAAGGGAAACTTGGTAGCTCAGGAAATACATCCTTGTTAACTGATATGGAAGTGTTTTAGTAGTTAACAACACATACAGCTTGTCAAGGTACTGAAAAGTAAATCTCAAAGGCTTCAAGATTCTAAATCTGCAGTTATGCAGAAGCATCAACACAATTAATGTCGGAGTTATGTGGCTAAGAAAACTGCAGAACCACTTGTCCCCTCGAGTTCTCAATGAACAGCTATCACAGTGATGGCTATGAGGTGAACTCAGATGAGGAGGAGATGGAACCTGGTGATCCTACAGATTCAAGCCCACCTTTCCTTGCAATGCTGGATTATCTTTTCTGCCACACACAGATTGTTGGGTGAGCCCTTTCACACTGCCGGTTGTGAGACCTGAAGTTTCGAGTATCAGCACACACTGAACAGATTTTTAGTGAAACAAATAGATCACAGACTGTAAGTTTGCTTTACATTTGACAGTGTTACAAATGCATCCCATTCTCTCCTCCATGGGCTCTAGGTAAGGCACTCTCCTTCCCATCTTAAGAAGCAGAAGCTCTTGCCATTGTTTAAGAGTTTTTTCACGCTGCTACCCAAGGGGAAAAAAGCTCTCAAGAAGTCAACAGTCTTGTTTTTCCACAGACATCAACTGCTGTTTTAACAACACAATTGTATTAGAAATAATTGGAAAATAAGATTTACAATTGCCATTGGCTTTTGAGGCTACTCACCACTCCTGGCTCACAGTGGTTATAGCAATGCTGGGAAGTGTTGTCAAAGGCAGAGTGGTTGGCCTGGAAATGCCATCTCCCTCAGGGGTCCTTGCCCTTTCGCTCTGCCTCTGGGACAATGGCGGCAGCTGCAAGTTTCCTGAACAGCACCTCCTGCCTCTCCAGAGGTCAATTCCAAGGGTGTAACTGGAAGAACTGTAGGATTTACTCAAGCTACATTCAAAATAGTCCTTAACATTCTGGAGGAGACAAAGAGAAAGAAAACAAGAAAAAGGGTGAAACTCAAACGTCTAAATGACAGAGTTAAATAACAGCCCAAATGATCCAGCTGTCACTGAGGAAGCCCGGATTCATTATCTCACAATCAGATTCTGAAATCAATGCCAAAAGCCTGCGAGACAACAAGCAAGATGGGGAGGGGGTGGGGAGGGGCTGGTTTCTATCTTTCAGTACAAACCTATCCATTGTACATTCCTAGAGATCTTTAGATTCAAAGGTAAACTTTACCAGGAGCAACATATGGATTGAAGGTTTCTTTCTTATTTCTCTCTCTCTCTCTCTCTCTCTCTCTCTCTCTCTCTCTCTCTCTCTCTCTCTCTCTCTTCTCTCTCTCAATTTGTTAAAATGATAAAGTTTGCTAAATTCAGTGTTTTAAAGCAAAAATTATTTTCTGTGTTAAGATATAAGAGTGTTGTTAATTGGAGTCGGCTGGTTGTCCCTGTTCCTCTATATAAACCTCATGGCTGGTAATGTTGCTGTTTTGCTATTACTGAATTATACAAGAGTTCAGATAGAAGATACACATCATCCGATCCTGAAGAGCCCTATTCACGTCTGTGCTGAATGCTGCCATGAATGGAATACAAGATAAAGGACAGAAGCATTCTGATAACAAGTAAGAGTCTCTCATGCCTCCCATTCCTCTGTGTGAGTATGGTTCCTGGTACTGCTGGGAGTGGAAATCCCAAATGAGTGTCTGCCTGGTGCACTGTTCTCAGTAACCCAAAAATGGATAATGTTGCCACATTACAATGGCTGCTCAGATCAACCAGAAGTTCAAAAGCTCGTGCTTTTACTCTTCTAATGAAGATCCTGTCATTAGGCCAAGGCTGCTCAACTGATGCGAATTCTGTGCTCCTGAAAACACTGGTCACGCCAAAATATTACCTGGAGTTTCAGCAAATATATGACGCACATTAGCATAGTCTCACGCTGTGCTACTTAAGAAGGCCTCTCATGTCACAGATCTCTGTCCTGTTGTTTAACATTTACACGTTTGGTCTATACAAGACCATCGTCTTGATTCTTCTCTTGGTTCAGGAAGTTATCATATGGTCTCAGATATGCTAGACAAGTGCTCTACCACTATGCTATATCCCCAATATCTCTTTTTAAATTATTAATTTTTATTTATATATATGTGTCTGTTGAGGGCTGCCAGAAGAGGTCAGATGAGGACATTGGATACCCTGGAGCTGGAGTTACAGGCGGCTGTGAGGGGCCTGATATGGGTGCTGGGAATCAAACTTGAGTCCTCTCTTAAAGAGGAGCAAGCACTCTTAAGCAATGAGCGGTATCTCCAGCCTCTTCAGTCTCTTCTGACTTTGTATTTTGAGATAAGGTCTCACTAAGTTTCCCAGGCCACTCTTGAATTCCATGCATAGTCCAGGCTGGCCTTGAATGTGTCATTCTGCCCCAGCCCCCTGAAAGTTTGAGGTTTCAGGCCTACGGCATCAGATCCAATAGATAAAGCCATATTCCAATGGCACACCTGGGCAAGAAAAGATGTAGCAGTTTTCAGGAGCTCCCCTTTCTCTACCTAGAAATGGAATATTATCATTTTTCTAATATTTGATGCATAATTTTGAAATATCATCTATTTAAAATTCAATATGACCAATACTTGGTGACAGGAAATTGACACAATCTAGAATCTTCCAGAGAGTGAAATGCACTAGAATGCATCAGAATGAGGTTTAATGCTTAATAATTAGTTGCATACATTGTAGCTCTAGTACTTGCTGCATCCAGGGAGCGTGTGTGTGTGTGTGTGTGTGTGTGTGTGTGTGTGTGTGTGTGTGTGTGTGTGTGAGAGAGATGGGGGGGGCGGGGGGGGGAGAGAGAGAGAGAGAGAGAGAGAGAGAGAGAGAGAGAGAGAGAGAGAGAGAGAGAGATTGGTATACATGTTTCTTAAAATATTTTAAAACTCCTTAAAGAGACAGAATATACAAAATCTTAGTGAAGATTAAAGATGAATATGAAAGAACAGACTGAAGGCCAGAAATCATAGTCCAGCATCAAATATGCATGTAAAGAAAAATCACAGTTTTCTAGAAGGCAAAATCTCAACTGTACATAAGAAACACTGTCCCAAAGTTAAGAAATGAAGACACCATTTAGTTAAATTGCCAGACACCAGGGCTTTCTGGTTAAGTGTAGAGTATTTTTCTCTTTGAGAAAGAGGAAATATTACCAACCAGGTTTGATAGCAGTGAATGGACTAAATGGATTCTTGATGCTTTCCACTGGATAGATAACAAAGTCATACCTCACACAAAAACATTTTCCACATTGTGGCTGGTAAGTTTTTGTGAACTCAGCCCTGGCTAGGGTCAACTGGAAAGAGGGAACCTCTGTCAGATTGGTCTGTGGGCAAGTCTGTGGAGCATTTTCCTAATTAATGATTGATGTGGAAGGGCTCAGTCCACTGTGGACAGTGACATCCTAGGGCTGGTGATCCTTGGTTGGAGAAGAAAGTTGAACAAGCATAGAAGAAAGCCAAGAAGCAGCATTTCTCTGTGGTCTCTGCTTCAGTTCCCTCCCGACTCCAGGTTCTTACCCTGAGTTCCTGCCCTGACTTCCCTTCACAGCGGACTGTGATCAGAACATGTAAACTCAATAAGCCCTTTTCTCCCCAAGTTGCTTTTGACTATGATCTTTACCACAGCAATGAAATGCAAGCTAGGATAGAAATTTGTATTGGGATCATGGAGTGTTGCTGTGCCAGACTAGTCCAGACCATGTAGTTTGGGGAGGACTGTGGAAGTGTTTGGAACTTTAGACTAGAAAAGTCATTAGTTCTTCAAGCTTAACAGGCTGTTCTGTGGGAGCTTGGAAGATAAGAATGCTGAAAATAATGAAGATGGTGAAGGCCTGGCTTGGAAGCTTCAGAGGGAAGTTTGAGAGTCCCTCAAACACTCTATCGGGGCTGTTCATGTGATATTTTGTATTAAGAATCTGTGCTTTTCTGGTCAACTCGGGTTGGAGAATCATCTGTGATTAACAAGAGACAGAAACAATGAGAATGAAAACTTTGCTTCATTGGGACAATTGATGCTGGTTAGCTCGAGATGAAGAACCAGTCAGCTGTGAGTAAGAAGAGACCAGCATCACTGGGTTGAAATCTCCTGGGGAGTTTTTCTTTAGAGTCAGCACACAGACTGTCCAAAGAGAGCCAAGACTGCTTCTCATGCTGGCAGTTGAACTTAGTAATGTGTTGGAGTCTCCATGTTTTACTGGTTTTGGTGGCATGAGAGCTTCGGAGTTGAAGAAACCCTGGAGGGTAGCTGAGCCTTGACACGATGAGAGGCCAGGAGAGACCCGGTGAGGGTGCAACCTCTGCTGCAATGGAAATCCTAAGATTTAAAGATTGTGGGAGAGACTGAACGAGGCACCACATTGAAGGGCTGGAGTCATGGCAGGAGGGTCTGGAGAGGCTTTTGGTGACATACATCCTGTGTTGAAGTGGAGATCCCAGGATAGTTGGGGTGTCACGGCTGAGGGATGACCACCACTATAGCAGCAGGTGTGGAATGGAGATAGCCTGAGCCACTGAGACAAGTTGTATGTGCTGTGGATGGCAGAGCCACGAAAGTGGAGGTGCCCAGTTCCTTGGGAGCCCAGAAGATCTTGAGTAAATAACAGATGCCAGACTCCGAGATACAGGATTTGATTTATAGTTGTGGCTGCTGACTTTGCTTTGATTGGATTGCAGCAGTGATCTGCTTTTTCCATCTTGGAATAAGAAGTATAAACCTTTTTTATTTTATTTTATAGGAACCCACAGCTGATAGACATTTGATTTTCAGAGAGATCTTGGATATTTTTAAAGAGACTGAACTTTTTAAATGCCATGAAACTTTTAAAAGTTGGGATGTGGTTTACATTTTAATTGTAAATTAAAATGACATTATTATGAGACATTAATTGACATTAATATGAGACCTTGGGGAGATAAACAAGAAAGGTTATGGTTTAGTAGTGGTGTATGCGTGTGCCAAGCTGACAAGGAGTCAATTGTGCTGGTTAGTTTTTTAGTCAACCTGACACAAGCTCTGGTCATTGGGAAGAGGAAACCTCAATTGAAAAAAAAAATGGGTTCATAAGACGGGCCTACAGCCTTTTCTTGATTACTGATCGATGTGGGACAGCCCAGTCCACTGTGGGTGGTGCTGCTTCTGGACAGGTGGTCCTGGCTTGAATAAGAAAGCAGCCGATCAAGCCATCAAAAGCAAGTCAGTGACCAATGTTGCATCATGGCATCTCCTTCAGTTCCTGCCTCCATGTTCCTGTTCTGATTTCTCTTCATGATAGGCTGTGGTCAGAAAATGAAAGCCAAATAAACTCTTTCCTTTCCAACTTGTTTTTGGTCATGCTCTTTATCACAGCAATAAAAGACAGACTAGGATGCACACTAACTTGCCAACAAGTTAAAACTTTACAGTTTTGAAGTCATCTCTTGAATAAAAAGAATGTTTTTAGAAGCCCTTGGTGAGTGTGAAAACATATCACCATAAAAAGCCATAATGAAACAGCTTTTCAGGAACTAAATTAAATGCTGAAAACAGTATTATTTTCAGAATATTATATGCAGAGCTATTTATAATTATCCCAAATTCTGTATTTACACTTATAATTTATAGACTGCTCTTCTACCCAAATTATTAACAACCTCAAAGTTGAATTTGGATACTTCTCAATTGATAAACTTGTGACTTATACCTGATTTACCTATTTTTAGTCGTCATAATTCTGACCAGTGCTAATGCTACTCATGAATCAACTACCTTTGGGGGAAGGACATTAATTTTAATGTTATCATTGGTAATCGCAATTTTGTATTTCTTTTTAAAATTCATACTTTTCTAAATTCACCTTATGACTGAATAATGCTGAAGAAATAAATGCTTTAGGATTCTCCTCAGATTCCTGAATAATTACTTATTTAAAATTACTTATTCTTACCAGCATAATCACAAAAGTTATCACAAAGGAAAAGCCTTAGTGGAGGCACCTAAATTTGCAAAGTCTTCGGGGAAGAGGGCAAGGGACTAATCTTTATCTTGGTCTCATTTCAAAATCCAGTCAGAACTACTGACAACCCCAGGGTGGCCACAGTGCTGCCTCAGCAAAGTTTCACTGCTGCCTTGTGTTTGGTCTGTCACCTGCTTCATCAATTTTGGAGGGTTTGTAGTTTTTCCAATTCTCTAGCTGCACTCATGCATGGGTAAGGTCTTCCCAGGACACACACTGTGCTTCCATTCAGACTCACTCCATACCACTGGCCAGCTTTGAAGGACTTATGACATCAGAGATGGAGATTATGAAAAGCACCAAGCGACATTCAGGGTCCCCATCAAAGCTAAATGTCATGGTGTTCCACGAGACAATAATAAGGAGTGTGTCTTTGAGAAATATGGTTTATCATAAGCCGTCATCACCAATTACAAGAACAGTTTGTCTGGAGCAACCACTCATATTCATTGTGTCCTCTTCTTTGAAATGTCTTCGTGCCTATAATTAGAAACATGAAACTGCAACTGGGCATCAGTGTGTGGATGTCTGACTTTTGGTTCTAATACACACACATAGATGTGTGTGTGTGTGTGTGTGTGTGTGTGTGTGTGAGAGAGAGAGAGAGAGAGAGAGAGGTGCACAGTATATGGATCCATGCACAATGAACTGTGTTATATAATTCATATTTATGTGTGTATGTGAGGTTATTCTCTTTCCCTCTTTTTTCACCTGTACACATAGTTACAGGCTCTTCTTAGTCTTCAGTCATAACCTTCTTTCCTCCTCCTAGGACCTGAAACTCCCTCCTACTCTTTAATCTCCTTAGTCATAATCACAATGTTCCGTTCTTAGATTGCACATCTCATCTCCAGAAGTCAATTTTCAAATACAAAGTAGTGAACACATGCACAAGTCTTACTGTCACCCGTGGAAGGTCTAGTGCATTTTGAGTGTATAAAGACAGACTTGTAGTTATCCCTTCATGTATTCCCCCAGCCCCAAGCAGAATGTCTTGCCCGAAGTAAAGGTCTTTTCACCTACTGTTCTCCTCTTACCGAAAATTCTCCCCCAATATCTTTACAGCTCACTCCCTCACTGCTTACCTGTCTTCTCCTCACACGGTCCATCCATAAATGCTCTCACACACAATCATTCTTTGCTCCCCCAACTGGCTTCTTTATGGTGTTAATCCCACCGAGTGAGAATAAGACCACTACCACAGTTTAAGGCAAATTTGAAGCAAGCTTTAATTAAAATACTGGCCAGGTAGATGGGCGCTGGCCAGATCCATACCCAGGTTCCTGGGAAATGGCCCAGAATCAAGTACGGCAAGGGCTTAAGAAGGAAAACTCATAATTCATTGTATTTCCCATCGGGTCCAATCAGGGGCAAGCATATATCCTGACGCACTTCCAGTCTGTGAATCTCCCCTGCCCATATGTGATCAAGCACATCTGGTACAGATGGGTCAAACAAACTTATTTAGGGGAGTGAAAAACATGTGACTTGTTATCTCCCATAAACAGTAGCCTCCAGCATTTCAGGAACTATCTGTCCTTGGGCAAGGAGCTTGCAGATCAGAGGCATTTTTGTTTCATGGGTCTCTCAGGCACAGTAATCAAAACTTAAAATGTAACTTTGGCTCTCACAATAGCCCTATCACAGCTGGGCTTGTTTTGTAATTTAACTTATTTCCACATTCCTTCTGGAAAGTAAGGCCAAAGTGAACAAGAACTTGTACTATTCACTGTTGACTCTCCCTAGAGAACCTAGAGCCATATTAGGCACACAATGTGTATATATAGTGTATATGTGGTATCGAGTGGATATCTAAATCATTTAATAAAAAGTTGATGAGTTAAAATAAATTAAAATATAACAATCTGTGTCTTACTTTAGTGTAAAAGCTTAATTAAAGAGTATGGTACATAAGCTATAAGCTTCTGTTGTTCCAGTGAGACAGGAGAGACCGGGGAACACAATGTGATATGTGCTGTGGCCGAGAGCCTGGGCGGAAGAGGGAAGTGTTGACTTGGCTGGCACTGTCTTTCAGAAATGAGGTCAGCTTGGAATTCAAATGTGTCATTTTTAATTTCCTGAGAGTCATATTTAAAGAATCAAAGGAAATAAAAGTTGTCTTTAGCAAAATAGTTTAATATATCTAAAGTGTTACCATCTTAATATATACTTTATACAAAAATTATTGATGAAGTATTTTTCATTATTAATATTTATATTACATAGATTCACAATCTGACATGGAGCTTGTTCATAGCTCACGCCATCCAGGCTAGTGACAGGTGGTTAAGGACTGCCACTCTGGACACATAAAACCTTGTACTATTTACCTACTGTGGTTCTGGTGGGGTTCATAGGAAATGACTAATGGCCTTCTTTTCTGCTTTTTTTTTTGCAAATTTCCTCCTCTTTTGACTGTGGTAACTTCCCTCATTCCCTAAGAGATAACAACGCAAAAGGAAAAAGATGTTGTGATGGTTGACAATTGTTAACTTGACAGGACTTAGAATCATCCAGCAAGCACACCTCTGGGTGTGTCTATGAGGAACTACCTGAATCACAATGACTGAGGGAGGAAGACCCGCCTGGGAAAGCAGGAAGAACCATTCTGTGGGTTGCAGCCCTGGACTGAAAAAAGGGCCGGGACTAGCTAATCAGTAGCTTTCATCTCTGTTTCCTGACCAGGGACACAGTGCGACCAGCTGCTTCAAACTCCCACCATCATGCCATCCTTGCCCACCATGATCACTAGTGACAATAAATCCTTCCATCCTAAAGTTGCTTTGTTGGGCATTCTGCAGCCGAAACAAGGAAAGTAACTATTACAGATGGTTTGTCTATCAATAACGAGCATTGTTCCACTTTAACCTTTATAACAAATCAGAATACTAAAAATCAGTCAGAATGGTGCGTAAATTGTATTAAGGGGCACTGCCAAATTTCTTTTTAAGAAAAAAAGATTTTTCCATTCCAGAAGTTTCCCTGTAGACATTCTAAGCAGGGCATAGCCATCTAAACACAATCGTTCATCACCAGTGTTAGAAATGGAATGTAAAAGGCAAATTTACATTTGTGACTGAGAGCCAAAGACCCAAGGAGAGGAGCAGCACACCACAGGAGGGGCTGGTGAAAAGGATAGCGTGAGACCAGGCCAACACTACACTGTGAACCCTTTTGGATATCACAGAGTTGAATGTGGAGTTCCCTACTCTGCTCAGGAGCCTTGTAGTTAAAAGAAGAGTAAGAATGGAGAGCCATCTGAAAAACCGGGCAATCCCCCAAGATACAATTTTTACACCAATTAGAAATAAAATCTTGTATGGGCTTTTCTTCCATCTATCAAATAGGAATTTGAAGGTAAAATGAGTCATAATACCACAGCAAATTCCTTGTTCCTCCAGCTTTTTACAGAAAGCAAGGAATTCACTTATTTTTCTCTTTTCCTCTCTACTTTCCTTTTGTAATCTGATTGGTGATATATAATTTTATATCGATTTTAAAGAATAATTTGGTAAGGACATGCAATGAAAGACCAATGAAATGAGTGGTCAGTTGAAAGCACGGAGGTAAACAATATCGGCTGACAAGAACCAAAGCCATGAAGACTGTATGTTGACAGACTTCAAATGACTTAGAGTCGGGCGTCTCAACCATGATGGACATTCTAGGATTGTTTTTAAACAGTATGATTAGCAGGTCTGAGATGTGACGTGAAACTCTGCATTTCTGATAAACATCAAGGTGAGGTTTGTGTTGCTGGTCTGAGGAACACTTGTGAGCACAAGGCCTAGTGAGTGTGTACAAAACACAACCTTCTTAGTGTTAATGACCCTCCCACAGGAAATGACTTTCAGGAGTTTGCTGCACATGATGGAAAGGTCATTAATGGTGGATGGTGGAACAGTGTGGAAAGGTGAATCAGCTCATCTGGCAAAAAGAGAATTATGCCTACTATCCATTTCACAGAGTGCTGGGTCCAGGTACTGGGAGTGTCTTTGTCATCAGAACAAGAAGTCACACAGTGATAGAATTATCCCTACTATCCATTTCACAGAGTGCTGGGTCCAGGGACTGGGGATGTCTTTGTCATCAGAACATGAAGTCACACAGTGATAGTATGAAACACCCTTCTCTGCCTTTGCATGGAATTATGGAGTAGCTTATTCACTGAACAAAGTGCAGGGATGTGGCAGCTGTCCCTGCCACTGCTTACATCATCTGCAGTTACTGCCATCACACTCCTGCTCTTCTTCATCATAGCTGTGGGAAACGGCTCCTCTGGGGACTTCTGCTGTTCAGTGCAGCTTTGCTGACTGCTGATTAGATCTAGGGGATGAAAAACACAAATGAAAATTCAGCTCTGTATCTATAGCTAAATAAAAGCATGTGACACATTCCTTCAGCTAACACAGGATGTGTACAGTGCACATATACAAGCAAGTACTACAATTTAGAAACCAATTAAACTTTATGTTCTGAAAAGAGAGACTGAAAGCATACAAGAAGCCAAGAAACTGGCACAAAGATATTCATAAGAAGAGAATAAGAATAGGAGGTAACAATTATACTCCCAGGTAACCAATGATTATGAAGAATATGACCAGATATGGTGTACATACCTGTAATCCCAGCACTCAAAGGATAAGGCAGGAGGTTCTAGGCCAGCCTGAACTACAAGGTAAAGCCTTGTCTCAAAATATTAATAACAATAGTATATATCTGTATAAGACTTTATAATTCAAAAAGTACTTTCCCACAAAATAAGTCATGCTATTCCTGTATGGTAGAAAACATTGTTATCATGTTTTGGGAATTGAGAGGCAGCTCAGTGGTAAAGTGCTTGAGAGAAAGAGAGAGAGAGAGAGAGAGGCAGAGAGAGAGAGGCAGAGAGAGAGAGGCAGAGAGAGAGAGAGGCAGAGAGAGAGAGACAGACAGACAGAGACAGACAGACAGAGAGAGACAGACAGACAGACAGACAGACAGAGATGAAGAGAGGATTGGCTCATGCCTTTTTGCCTAATGAGAGAACTGAATGTCAGAAAAATTATTTGGCCTGAGTAAAATAGCAAAGCAATGTAAGATTCAGAATTTAAAGACTATGACTCCCTGGTACTTTCCAAAAAAAAAAAAAAAAGCAATCTAATACAAACTAAGGTACAGGAGGAAATGTACACTTAAGGGAAGAAATCTTATCTCAATCTTTACACCAGTTTTCAGCTCCTCATATGGAAATCACACAAGCAGTAATCATGATAGGTGACTTCAGAAAACAATACTTGGAAAGAGTGGAGCTTCCTGCCTTATGTCACACCAGGCCATTTGTGGTAGACATGATTCACTGCATGACATTCTGTAAGCTCCAGAGGAAAACCAGCCAAGGGCTTATAAAGACTACTGAAAGAGGCATGAATATAAAGTCCAGTCATAGAGAAAATGACAAAAGAATGCAAGGAATTCTGAATCTGCAGAACATAACTGGAAGCAGATGTGTTTAAAAACAAAAGGAAGGAAGGAAGGAAGGAAGGAAGGGAGGAAGGGAGGAAGGAAGGAAGAGAGAAAGAAAAGGAGCCTAGGAAGTACCCATCATGAGATTTTTGCTTCAAAATATTTTGTATTGTTGCTGAGCTCAACAACTCCTGTCTGTTTTTCATTCTATACATTTCATCTCTTAATATATGCTGGATGTGAAAATTTGGCTTGTCTACCATGAAGATACACATAGATTAAAAGCATGATAAGACTGCAGCTACGTGAGTAGGAATACTAAGCAGTGGCATTGTACAGTCACCCAGGAAACCAGGGTTGAATTCCTAACACATAATTTGACTATATTATGCAGGAATTGGCAGTGAAACTGATGCTACAGATAGAAATGGGGGGAGAGAGGAGCTTTGCCTGTGTAGGTGTGTAAAAGAGGAAACCCTACAGACACTTAGGTATTTGATTCAATATGCTGAGGAAAAGAATTCTCTCTGTCTACAGCAATAAATAAATAAATACTATGCTTCTTTCATGCAGTCCGAACAGCAGCAGGCAGAAATTTATAGTTTGATTATAAGGAAGCTTAAAGCTGAACAAAAGTAGGTAAGTAAAGATCTTGGCATCGTGGAGTTTTAGTCTATCTGATAGTCCTACAGGGCTTATCAGAAACAAACAAAAACTCATACTCCTAAGCTAAAACATTAGTTCAATTTAGGCCTAAGTGTGGGATAGAGGACTTGTTCATACTCAATAAGTCAAAGTCTGTGAAAATGTTAACACAGCAAAGAATGCTAAGGGGCATGTAAAATGCTAACAGTAGGAACTAGATGCGGGTTACAGGTGGTTTTCTTGATGTTGCAGGATGAGAAGAATATGCTTAATGGAGATAGTGCAGAATAATAAAGTGTTCAAAATGTAAAGGAACCCCCAGGAGCATGATATATGAAAGGTAAATAGATTCATGGATAGATGAGATGATAGATAGGTTGATTGATAGGTAATAGATAGATAGACATATAGATAATAGAAGCATGATAGATAAAGTAGATAGATGAAAGATAGATGGATAATCATTAGATGATAGGTGACTGATAAAAATAAATTGATTAATGAGATTAGGTATATAGATGATAAATCAGAATTTATTATGTCAAGATTGTAGCATATATGAATGTAAATACAATAAGAAAACTTACAGATAGAAAGATAAAATGATTCAGGAAAATGTTGTTAAATCTTTTTGAGGAGCAAGAGTACTTTTGTCAGGCCTTCACCGTGGAAACATACGTTATGTATTTGAATTATTTGAGTGACAGAGTTTAGAGTACAAATTCGTGTACCTTTAACAATGTACTCATCCTAGCAAGGAAAAAGAGCAAGATTGCAAATTACATGGCAGTTTACCAAATTACAAACAAGCCAAAATCTGTTACATTTTTTAAAAAGGCAAATAGGAGAGAGATGTCTCTGTGCATGTTCCTCATCTGACTGTCTTGGTCCACTGTAGCTGAAAGTTTTCCTGTGTCCTGCCTGGCCCGCAGTGGTTTTGATTCTGTTCTGGAATCCTGAGAGATGTAAGGACACAAATAGTCTACGGCTGAGTGTCAGTGTCTATTGCCTTTCAACCAGGATGACACAGTGTGATGTTCCCCCTCCACCAGCTTCACCACGCATGTACATGACTCCAGGGATCTCAGGTGAAGCGTCCAGTGAAGCAAGCACATTTATCGCCAGTGAAGAAATCAGGCCTCAGTAACAGAGCTTGCCCAAAGTCAGACATTCTACTGGTTAGGGCCAAAATTCTAGTTCTAAGCATGTTTTCCCTCAGATGTGGAATCTAGAAAAATAAATAAATAAGACATAAAAGTAAAAGAAGGACTACATGGGAAGAGGAAGGGGATGTGGGAGAAAGGGAGATAAGAGAAGGTGATGGAAGTCAAAATGTCAAAGTGATCCAAGGATGCTTATATGGACTCATTTTCAAACTCTGTCAGCCTAACTGGGCAGTAACTGACACCCACACCCAACAGCAATATGGCATGTATGATTCCCACCTTCTTGTCTCAGTGAAAGCCATTGTTTCTTGCAATTGATACATACTAATAACAATGTCTAAATAAGTCAAAGCAAGCCCATTCACCTCTCATGGTAAGCTGACTGGATCTTGCTAACAGCATTTCAAAGTGGAACACATGAAGTGATGCTTTATGTTTTTATTGTGGCCAATGTTGTGAATTAAAGTTAAAGTGATCAGTTTTGAATACTTTCATATGTTTCATAGTGTAATAACAAAAGGGGACGATTTGGAAAGATACTGAAATTTTTACATGCCTTGGACTTACAGTAAATAGTATAAATAACGGGCTGGATTATCTTCATTTGAAATTATTCTGCAGCCGGGCGGTGGTGGCTCACGCCTTTAATCCCAGCACCAGGCGGATCTCTGTGAGTTCGAGGCCAACCTGGGCTACCAAGTGAGTTCCAGGAAAGGCATAAAGCTACACGGAGAAACCCTGTCTCAAAAAAAACCAAAAAAAAAAAAAAAAAAGAAATTATTCTTCCATTGTGACATTTATGTCTCAATAAACAGACCACTATGTGCTTCATAAAAAGCAAAACACTTAAACCAAAATTAAAAAGGAATTTGTGCAATTGTGGTGGCACAGGCCTGCAATCCCAGCCAACACTTGGAAAGTGGAGACAAGATGATCAAGAATTCAAGGCCAGTCTCAGCTTCATACCAATTTCAAGGCAAGCCAGCCTGGGCTACATCATGAACTCCTGTCTCAAACAACAAGAAAAAAGCTTTAGAAAATAATTGGCATGAAGTCTAGCTCAAAAAAAAAAAATAAGTTTTCAGTTTGGGCTGACATCTAACATAGTATGAATGGGGGAAAGAACACGGGGCACAAAAAGGCCTGAATACCCATCTTCACCCCCATCTCTAAGTCCTTCTAGAAACACTCATTTACTAAACGTGAGGCCATTGGTCTCAATTAGCAGACAAAAGATTTTGGGTATAATAACTATAAACTTTATGAATCTGATAGAATTCCTAGTAATTAGTGGAAATAAGTAGAGATTATAAAACCAGCCCTCCAATAGTAGCTCTGGCTAAATTTGCACTAAGATCCTCCTTTGAGTTGGCATCTACATTCTGGAGCTATTGTGTCTGATTACTGCTGCTTTCCAGGTGACTGTGGCAGAGACAAACCAACAGACAAATGTGCTTTCTCTTATGAGTGGTTGACGTGAGATGATGCCATTGTAACAGGGAGTAATCAAATTTGAGAAAAATTTACACAGAATGTGAATCCTTGACAGTCCTGGTGTCTTGCTCCTATAACGTCAACACTCTCACGGATGAGGCAAGAATATTACAGAAAATTCAAAGCAGCTAAGCTTCTAGTAAGTTCCAGACCAGCCAGGTCTATACAACAAAACCCCGTCTCAAAACAGTAACAACAAAAAGTTCAAAATTACAACAGCTTACAACATGTACTCCCTACTTAGAAGTAAGCATTTTCTTCTTTCTTTTCTTTTCTTTCTTTTTTTTTTTGGAATATAATAATTTTGTTCAATTAGGAATAACCATAAAGGATTTTTTTTGATAAACCACTGAAAATTCTTAAGATAAGAACTGGAACTACTAGCAATGCCTTGGGAAGTCATTAGCAGCACAGATAATGGCGTGTTTGAATGCTATCCAGAAGCAAAGAAGCTGCGCTAACTGCTGTTCTGAGCAAGCCCATCTCATGAACAAACACTTGAGAGCAAATCCTGCTGTAAAATGGGTTTTTTTTTTTTGTAAATTACTAGTAGGGTTCAAGCCTAAAGATCAATGC